ATCATTTATGAAGATTATCAGTGTTTTATTCAGGACACTATTTTACACGTATATTTACAATGTCTAGTTTAATCATTATGACATTGCAATATTTCTAGAGGATTATTTCTCTGGCATTTTTAATACTTATTTAATATACCTGTCATGATCACAAAACCTGTCAATATTAATGTTTTCATCATAATACAGCTTACTAAGATACTGGTGATAAATGTGAACCAAAATATATGTCATGTTTCTTTATTGTGCTTTTTTGGTTTCATATATATTTTCTTTCCTGAGACAAAGTAATTTTTGGGAATTGCATGTCTTAATTCAGCATTAATAATCATTTTCAAGGCATTTCTAGAAGAAGTGCAATTTTTTTACAAAGGCAAAGAAGGAAAATTCTAACTGGAACAACTTGGTGAAAACAAAATTAGGTTCACCATGATATTTTTTGCTGATCTGTCCCTGAAAAGGAGTCACCCTCAATTTGTTTTATATCAAATTTCAAAATATGTACTGACTTAGTAAATGGCAAATAAGTGCAGTGGCCACCATGACCAGACAGCATGGAAGCACGCCAGCTGATTTAACTGTATATAAACAAGGTACAGCCAATATTAAACTTATAATTTGCCAGGAATATCATTGTACTGGGGCTTAATATTGGTTAACAAAAGGTCATAATTTTACTTATTAAGTACAGGTTTTTAATTGTTCATTATACAGACACATAATAAAATATTCTCTGATTAATTATATCATAAATCTCTATAAGTTAGTATAAGAACAATTCATACAGTTCTATTTGACCATGATATATTTTCATAGACTCTTTCAAACCCTGACTCAAAGAAAGAAAGAAAAAAATTGTGTATCTAAGTTTATGAGAAATTCATCTCACTGTGAGTATCTTGATAAGACTGGGTATTATGTTGATATGCAGCTTGCACAATACAGGTTGTGTGAAATAATTTCTCTTTTACCTTGTATCTTTCATTCAATCAGCAGGGAGTTGATTATTTTCAAGCTATCATGTCAGTTTTATTTTGTGATATTTAAATGGTGGAAGATAGTTTTTTAATATTTTCACATGATAAGTGAATAGAAGTCATGTGATTTGTTGCAAAATGAATCAAGTTGCCCTGCAGTGAAAACTGTTAGACTCAATTTTAAGTTTTATCATAAGTTTGATCAGGTAACAGGGACGTTTGTGAAGCACCAGTTTCATGGGGATTTGGGGATAAATTGCTCAACTTTATTAATGTACATGTATAATAGTTATAATTTCCCAATTATCTAAGTAGATTTTAGAATTAAATAAAAAATGACTTTCTAATATTTATTTTAAAACAATCGTGACTGATCCATTACATAAATAAATCATTGTATGAAAGTTTATATAGCTTTAAGGTAAGAGTGACCAGCTGGTCAAGATGACTATACATTATTGTAATAGTGTGTGACCAGTGTATATTGTAGGCAATTTTAGTTTATATCTGTGTATGTGTGTGGGCAAATACTAAACAGACAATAAGTTTTACTTAAAACTCCATTTTACAGGGCAGTATATTGTGACCTTTGCAATAAATGACACCTCTTAGTGTGAAATAGTACTGCTAGTTGGTATTTAGGTTATATGGTGGCAAGATGTTGCATGTTAAATTTAGTGCAGCTTGAATTGTGAATTTAGTATAATATCTCAATATATTTGACAAGCAATAAAGTGCAAAATTAAATAGTATTTTCCTTTAAAAAGTATGGTGTAATTATAAGTTTTGATAGGTATTTGATAGAAACTATGATTCTATACATTGTTGAAGAATGAATGTATTTTATACTACAAGATTGATCACTAAGATATTGTCCAGTCAGCTAAGCTAAAGTTTAGTCTGATGATTCATATTTAAATTATTTTATATGGTCAGTTTAATCGGTAGTTTACCTTATCAACGATCCGCTTTAATTGTTTATTGATCTAATATTACAGTATAAAAACATTTGTTCAAGGGTTGATCGGATTACTTTACTAATTTTATACCTTGGTCAATTGTTGTATTGAAGGGAAGTGTTAGAATAAATGTGCAATAAAGTTAAAGTGTATGTAAATTATCCTGAGCTGCAGTATTTATCAGGCAAAAGATCAGAATTTTTAATCCTCTATTAAAGCAGCATGCCTCCAGTTGAGCCAAAGTATGTCAATAAAATCAAACCTGAGAAAAATGTACTAACATTTTAGAAAAAGTTTCAAGATTCAAGTTAATAATTTACATATTCTGTGCATTTAATGACTAATTTTTATATGCCAAAGAATTTCGAGCATATTATGTTATACCCCCTGGCGTCACTCTGTCCGTCCGTCTGTCTGTCCGTCCGTTAGCAATTTGGTTTCCGGAGCATAACTTAAGTCCCATTTGGCCCACAGTGTTCAAACTTCATAGGATAATTGTCCATATTGGGTAGAAGACCCCTATTGATTTTGGGGTCACAAAGTCAAAGGTCAAGGTCACTTTGACCTTAAAACTGAAAACAGTTTCCGGAGCATAACTTAAGTCCCATTTGGCCCAAAGTGTTCAAACTTCATAGGATGATTGTCCATATTAGGTTAAAGACCCCTATTGATTTTTGGGTCACAAGGTCAAAGGTCATGGTCACTATTACCTTAAAACTGAAAATAGTTTCCGGAGCATAACTTAAGTCCCATTTGGCCCACAGTGTTCAAACTTCATAGGATGATTGTCCATATTGGGTAGAAGACCCCTATTGATTTTGGGGTCACAAGGTCAAAGGTCAAGGTCACTATTACTTTGAAATTGAAAACAGTTTCTTGAGCATAACTTAAGTTCCATTTGGCCCACAATATTCAAACTTCATAGGATGATTGTCCATATTGGGTAGAAAACCCCTATTGATTTTGGGGTCACAAGGTCAAAGGTCACTATTAACTTAAAACTGAAAACTGTTTTCGGAACATAACTTAAGTTTCATTTGGCCCACAGTGTTCAAACTTCATAGGATGATTGTCCATATTGGGTAGAAGACCCCTATTGATTTTGGGGTCACAAGGTCAAAGGTCATGGTCACTATTACTTTGAAATTGAAAACAGTTTCGGGGGCATAACTTAATTTCCATTTGGCCCACAATATTCAAACTTCATAGGATGATTGTCCATATAAGGTAGAAGACCCTTATTATCCCCCGCCGATGGAATCGGGAGGGGGATATAGTTTTGGCGTTGTCCGTCCGTCCTTCCGTCCGTCCGTCTGTCCGTCCGTCCGTCCATCCGTCCGTCCGAATTTCGTTTCCGGAGTAGTTCTCTGCAACTAATGGCTGGAATTCAACGAAACTTTATGGGAATGTTGATCAACATGTGAAGTTGTGCACCTAGGTATTTTCGTCTGGATATTTTTAGTATTTTTAGAGTTATTGCCCTTGACTTAGTAAACGTCCGAATTTCGTTTCCGGAGTAGTTCTCTGCAACTAATGGCTGGAATTCAACGAAACTTTATGGGAATGTTGATCAGCATGTGAAGTTGTGCACCTAGGTATTTTTGTCTGTATATTTTTAGTATTTTTAGAGTTATTGCCCTTGACTTAGTAAAACGTCCGAATTTCGTTTCCGGAGTAGTTCTCTGCAACTAATGGCTGGAATTCAAAGAAACTTTATGGGAATGTTGATCAGCATGTGAAGTTGTGCACCTGGGTATTTTCGTCTGGATATTTTTAGTATTTTTAGAGTTATTGCCCTTGACTTAGTAAAATTTTGCAATTTTCAACTTGTGTTGCATGTAACTCAAAAAGTATTTGACCTAGAGTCATGATACTTTACAGGAATGTTGATCAGCATGTGTAGTTGTGCACCTGGGTATTTTCGTCCGGATATTTTTACTATTTTTAGAGTTATTGCCCTTGACTTAGTAAAATTTTGCAATTTTTCAACTTGTGTCGCATGTAACTCAAAAAGTATTTGACCTAAAGTCATGATACTTTACAGGAATGTTGATCAGCATGTGTAGTTGTGCACCTGGGTATTTTGGTCTGGATTTATTTAGTATTTTTAGAGTTATTGCCCTTGACTTAGAAAATGTTTGCAATTTTCAACATCTTATGGTGGTCCCCTGCAAAAGTTGATCAAATGGTTCCGGTCTGTTGCATAAGTAGGTCACAGGGCCAGAAAAGGAGTTTCAAAAATGCAAAATAAAAAAATCTTGTCTGAAAGTACAAGGCCTAGAGCTTTGATATTTGGTATATGATATAACCTATAGCCCTGGGGTCAAAATTGGCCCCACTCCAGGGGGTCATAGATTTACCTTATATGTATATAGTGAAAACTTCTTCTTGTTTGAAGGTACAAGGCTTCAAGTTCAAAGAATATTACAGTTAATGCCATGATTAATATATTAATAAAGCCTTATGTCTTCAGTTGTTGTGTTAATAATAACCAGTACTCGGCGGGGGATATAAATTCAACGAATTTGCTTGTTGATTTTGGGGTCACAAGGTCAAAGGTCAAGGTGACTTTTAAAACTGAAAACAGTTTCCGGGGCATAACCATTTAGACCACAATATTCAAACTTCATAGGAGCATTGTTATTTGAATGAGGTAATACTTTATTTAATTCCAAATGTCTTACAAATGCTTCATCTTTACTAAAAAAAAAAAAAAAAAATCACTTTCGGGCATATAATGCTCCGCCTAGTGGTGCTCTTGTTTAGTACTTATAAAAATATTTCTACTGCCTAACTAACACAGTGAGGGTTATTTTTGCATATTGTAACCTCTTTCTGTTAATTTACGTGGGTTGCAAGTGATTGCATTGATAATCTGAAAAGGGTAAGAAAAAAACTAATCTAAAACCAATTTTTGGGGAAAACTGTATGATTTTAAAGAATTTTAACATAGTTAAAAACTCTAAGCAGTTCCTAGTGATTTCTTTCCCTTTTTCTGAATCAGCATGATATATATAATATGTAAATGTTTTAATGTCTTGACAATTGTAATTGTTTGTTTCAGGAATGATCGCCTTACACTATGCTGCATGGCAGGGTAAATCTGAACCTGTACATATTTTACTAGACTGGAAGTCACCAAGTAATGAGCAGGCTCTTGGAGGAGAGACCCCTCTACATTTAGCTTGTCAGCATGGTCATTTTGATGTGGTAAGTTGTTTTAACCTAGTACTTCAGTTAACATACACAAAGAGATAATGTGTACATGTAATATAAGCACTAGTGGAGGTTACCTTTGCCTCTGCCTTTGCCCCTACTGAAAAAAGTGGTTGCTAAATACTGTGATGAGGTGGTCTGTCTGTATGTACATTTGTCCTGTAGGGTAAGGAGTCCTATCAATTTCTTGAGAAGGTATAATTATAAGTTGTTTATATATAAGCTGTATATATATATAAGTTGTTTATATATATAAGCTATATATACTGTGTGGTTAATGTTACTTGGTAGGGACATTGCCCATCACCAGCATATGTGCATATGGAATTAGGACCTTGCCAAATCAACATGGGCAAGACCTTTAGAGAGTACACAAATGAATGTAACACAAATGTGAAAGTGCCACTGTTTAGTAGGGGTGTATAAACTTTATAGATTAATTATATGATAAACATTAAAATTCATAGACTTTATATCCAGATGGTGTTAGTGTCCTGAATGTTTTGAGAGTGAATCAATTGAATTACAAAATACATGCATAAATTTGCTGTATTTTCAATGATTAAATGGATATGTTTATAATTGACTGATCTTCTTAATGGCAGTTTACAAACTATGTCTATCTGTTAAGTTGAAAATCTCTCGTTTGATGCATTGATACATAGATTAAGGGGCAGAATTTTATCTTTGCACATTAAATTTTAAGTATAATGATTCATAATGTGTGTGATTCTTTCTGAGTTAACATTAATATCTAAGTAAAAAGATTGACAGCAGATAGTGTGATAAACATTATTGGAGATCAAAAGCAACAATAATAATTGAGCAAACCATTATTTATTTGTAAAACAAACAGGTTTTTTTTCCTGTGAAGATATAAGTCCTATACTGACACTGTATAATGTCATACAGACTTTCCAACTGTTTATGCAAGTAGATCCCAGGTGTCCATGCTAGTAGATCTAAAGTGCCAATACAGGTAGATCCTGGACTCCCATGCAGGTAGATCCCAGGTGTCCATGCTAGTAGATCCAAAGTGCCCATACAGGTAGATCCTGGACTCCCATGCAGGTAGATCCCAGGTGTCCATGCTAGTAGATCCAAAGTGCCCATACAGGTAGATCCTGGACTCCCATGCAGGTAGATCCCAGGTGTCCATGCTAGTAGATTCAAAGTGCCAATGCAGGTAGATCCTGGACTCCCATGCAGGTAGATCCCAGGTGACCATGTAGATAGATCTCAGGCACCAATGCCGGTAGATCCAAGGTGTCCATTCAGATAGATCCCAGGTTTCCATGCAGGTAGATCCCAGGTGTCAATGCAGGAAGATCGAAGGTGTCCATGCAACTTGATTCCAGGTGTCCAAGTAGGTAGATTCCAGGTACCCATGCAGGTAGATCCCAGGTACCCATGCAGGTACATCCAAGGTGTCCATGCAGGAAGATCCCAGGTGTCAATGCAGATAGATCCCAGGTATCCATGCAGGAAGATCCCAGGTGTCGATGCAGATAGATCCCAGGTATCCATGCAGCTTGATCCCAGATGTCAATGCAAGTAGATCCCAGATGTCCATGCAGGTAGATCCAAGGTGTCCATGCAGGTAGATCCCATGTACTCATGCAGGTACATTCAATGTGTCCATGGTTGTAGATCCTAGGTATCTATGCAGATAGATCCCAGGTTTCCATGCAGGTAGATCCCAGGTGTCCATGCAGGTAGACCCTAGGTGTCTATGCAGGTAGATCCCAGGTATCCATGCAGGTAGACCCGAGGTGTGCATGCAGGTAGATCCTAGATGTCCATGCAGGTAGATCCAAGATGTCCAGGCAGGTAGATCTCAGGTGTCCATGCAGGTAGATCCCAGGTGTCCATGCAGGTAGATCCCAGATGTCCATGCAGGTAGATCCTAGGTATCCATGCAGGTAGACCCCAGGTGTCCAGGCAGGTAGATCCCAGATTTCCATGCAGGTAGATCCAAGATGTCCAGGCAGGTAGATCCCAGGTGTCCATGCAGGTAGATCCCAGGTGTCCATGCAGGTAGATCCCAGGTACCCATGCAGGTAGATTTCTAGGTGTCCATGCAGGTAGATCCCAGGTATCCATGCAGGTAGATCCCAGGTGTACATGCAGGTAGATCCCAGGTACCCATGCAGGTAGATCCCAGGTATACATGCAGGTAGATTCCATGTACCCATGCAGGTAGATCCCAGATGTCAATGCAGGTAGATCCCAGATGTCCAGGCAGGTAGAGCACAGATGTCCATGCAGGTAGATCCCAGATGTCCATGCAGGTAGATCCCAGGTATCCATGCAGGTAGACCCCAGGTGTCCATGCAGGTAGATCCCAGGTGTCCATGCAGGTAGATCCAAGGTGCCCATGCAGGTAGATCCCAGGTGTCCATGCAGGTAGATCCCAGGTATCCATGCAGGTAGACCCCAGGTGTCCATGCAGGTAGATCCCAGATGTCCAGGCAGGTATATCCCAGGTACCCATGCAGGTAGATTCCAGGTACCCATGCATGTAGATCCCAGGTGTCCATGCAGGTAGATTCCATGTACACATGCAGGTAGATCCCATGTGTCCATGCAAGTAGATCCCAGATGTCCATGCAGGTAGATCCAAGGTATCCATGCAGGTAGATCCCAGGTACTCATGCAGGTACATTCAATGTGTCCATGCTTGTAGATCCTAGGTATCCATGCAGGTAGATCCCAGGTGTCCATGCAGGTAGATCCCAGGTGTGCATGCAGGTAGACCCTAGGTGTCCATGCAGGTAGATCCCAGGTATCCATGCAGGTAGACCACATGTGTGCATGCAGGTAGATCCTAGGTGTCCATGCAGGTAGATCCCAGATGTCCATGCAAGTAGATCCCAGGTGTCCATGCAGGTAGATCCTAGGTGTCCATGCAGGTAGATCCCAGGTGTCCATGCAGGTAGATCCCAGGTGTCCATGCAGGTAGATCCTATGTGTCCATGCAGGTAGAGCCCAGATGTCCATGCAGGTAGATCCTAGGTGTCCATGCAGGTAGATCCTAGGTGTCCATGCAGGTAGAGCCCAGATGTCCATGTAGGTAGAGCCCAGGTGCCCATGCAGGTAGATCCTAGGTGTCCATGCAGGTAGATCCCAGGTGTCCATGCAGGTAGATCCCAGGTGTCCATGCAGGTAGATCCTAGGTGTCCAGGCAGGTACACCCCAGGTGTCCAGGCAGGTAGATCCCAGGTGTCCATGCAGGTAGAGCACAGGTGTCCATGCAGGTAGATCCTAGGTGTCCATGCAGGTAGATCCCAGCTGTCCATGCAGGTAGATCCCAGGTGTCCATGCAGGTAGATCCTAGGTGTCCAGGCAGGTAGACCCCAGGTGTCCACGCAGGTAGATCCCAGGTGTCCATGCAGGTAGAGCACAGGTGTCCATTCAGGTAGAGCCCAGGTGTCCAGGCAGGTAGATCCCAGGTGTCCATGCAGGTAGAGCACAGGTGTCCATGCAGGTAGATCCCAGGTGTCCATGCAGGTAGATCCCAGATGTCCATGCAGGTAGATCCCAGGTATCCATGCAGGTAGACCACATGTGTGCATGCAGGTAGATCCTAGGTGTCCATGCAGGTAGATCCCAGATGTCCATGCAGGTAGATCCCAGCTGTCCACGCAGGTAGATCGAAGGTGCCCATGCAGGTAGATAATAGGTGCCCATGCAGGTAGATTATAGGTGTCCCTCTCAGTTTATTTGCCACGAGTTGGCACAAAGCTGACCGGTAATACTGCACACCTCTAAATTTTTCTAAAGTTATTTCCCTTCCTATACCCTGCTATTCCTTGTGGCTTTGTCTGGGACATTGTGACAATTTACTGATGCATAATATTTAATGACCAATTATACATGTTGGATCCTTTTCTGAAAGGAACATCATGACCAACTTAGAATTAAGTTTCGGAATACACTTTTAAACTAGAAATGTGCCCATAGGGCACTTATGTCACTTGCTGTCACAGGGGATTATATACATACTTATTGTGATCAATGGGGGTCATCTTATAGTAATGACCAACTTGCTCACCAAATTTTAGGACGGTAGGTCAAAGCGTTCTCTAGTTACTGGTCAAAATAGGAAGAGGTGATTGTATCTAAATATGGAGGTATCGACCGACCTCATCACAATTGCTTCCACTTTTAAAGCAGCACGCCTCCAGATTCATCTCAATTTTCATGAAAACTTTGGAAAAGTATTTAAAAGTAAAATAATGTGAGGTAAACATTAAAAGTAATTTACATATTGCAATCGGCACTTAGAATCCACGGAAATTACAAAAAGTGGTCAACATATGCAAAAAACAGCCATTACTGCCTTAGTAACACAGTAGACATATAGAGACAATATACTGCAAAATCAGTGTTAAACTGCACATAACGTGTAAAATATTACTTGGATCTAGAATGTTTTTACCTTTTTCAAAAGTTTAGTGCATAAATTCTCTCAATATTGATTTTCTTGAAATATGTTGGCTCATCTGGAGGCGTGCAGCTTTAAATAGGGAATATATAAAAATAACTACTAGAAAGGTTGACTGTGCAGTTCCACTTATTGTCCTGAAACAAAGTATATTTTTATTATGAAACAGTTTGAAGCTACTTAATTGTACAGAGTTTTTTGTCAATTATGTCTTTAAAAGATTGTCATTATTAGTGATGGTATTTTAAGATAAGGAATTACAATATTTCAGTATCTATCTAAATTATCAGTGTTGAATCTAGGTCACTTGAGTACAATCTACTTTTCAATATTTTGTATGCATATTTTTCAAATAGATATAATGTAGACATTTAGAAACCTGATCTATCCCTTACAATTTTTTTGTTAATTTTGAAAAAATATAGAATTGAGATATTTGAATGATTAACAGAGATGTTTATCATATAAATTATCAGATTGAAACATGATCTTCCCGTTTTTATGTAACAAGAAGTTAAAAGGGTCACCTTGTACACTTTATTGTCAT